ACATATGCTTCCAGGTTGGCCTTGGGGACTGCCCCACCCTTGGAGACTTAACCCCTGGGTCATAACTTTGAAATGGTTAATATCCCCACCCCAAAACTATATATACAATTGTTGGGCATAAAGAGACGAATGCAGTCATGACATTAGAATTGATCCCAGGGTCTGCCCCACCCTTGCAGACTTGGCCCCTGGGTCATAACTTTGAAACGGTTGAGATCCCCAACCCAAAACTATCTATACAAATGCTTGGCAAAAAGAGACAAATGCAGTCACGATATTAGAATCAATCCTGGGGTCTGGCCACAACTCTAGGGACCTAGTTTCTGAGTCAAAGCTTGGAAACAGTTGAGATCCCCACCCCATAACCATACATAAAATTGCTGGGCATGAACAATCTAATATAGCTATGCTACAAGGATTGGCCTTGGGGTCTGGCATATTCCCTTGATCTCATTTGGAGAATAGTTTGCCATGATTGCTTAGGTATCCAGGTGAGCGATACAGGCCCTCTGGGCCTCTTGTTTATTAACTTATTTATTTTCATTTCGCCCAAATTTAAAGTTCATTTTGCTTCAAATTCACACCGCTCCAAAACCATCTACATGTTCTTAGTCCTCACTACCCTACTATTAGTGACAGTAGTATCGGTAATAAGATGAAAGTCGTTTCAGGATTTTTTTCGGGTCGTTTCGGGATTTTTCATTTTTTTTCTTCCGTAGATAACATTGTCTTTTTTCTTTAAACATATTTTAATACCAAATAAATTAAAACAATTGATTGGATAAAAGTAATTACAACTTATCATACATTTACCATAACAACACACTGTCAATCGGGTAAATGTTGGTAGCCTAAGGTATCCCCTAAAGCACTAGCAATCTGGTAACACTAACGACTTGATTAAGTCCCGAAACATCTTGTGTCATGTCCCGAAACAACTCCGGGACTCTCGAAACGACTTGCTACCGAAACGACCTGTTACCGAAACAACTAGCATTCTTGTCCATACAGTAGGGTATGTGGCATATTTTAATTGTACATAGGATTACGGTCGCCTTCTATCTTTGAGTTAGAGGGAATTTCCCTTTAGCTCAGTGGTAGAGCTTCCAACTAGGAACCTGGAGATTGAGGGTTTGATCCCCGGTGGAAGCACACCATTCTCTATTCTGACTATTTTGTTACAGGTATGTAGAGAAGACTATTATATATTTTCACACCAGATGCAGATGTCTGTGATATTATCTATCTAGGCACAACACTTGAACTGTTAAAGAATTCAAGATAAAAGAAGAAAAACACAAACAGCTAATTCATCCAAGCATTCTGTTTTTAACCTCTTATAGTAAAATACTGAAACAAATATTTCACATAATGTTCCAAATGTTCATAATCATCAGCATGCATTGATGATAGATCTAGACTGGAACCGTATGAAGATACTGTATACATCAAATATCACTTCTTTTCCCCCTATTAGATATGGATGTCAATATACAACTAATGTTTGCTGAAAACCTAGCACTAAATCCAAATCTTACACCATAAAGCTGAACCCTAACCATAACCCTTTAAACCCTAAACTCCTACCCTAACCTGACCATAAACCTTAAACTTCAACACTAACCCTAACCCCTAAACCTTAAACTCCTACCCTAACCTGACCCTAAACCCTAACCCTAATCTGAACCTGTACCAACCCACTAAACCTACAATCCTTTTAGTCTGAATAACTGACTATTTACTTAAACATTTTTATTCTGCCCAAACTTACAAAAGAGAAATGAGATATAATAAATTTTCCGGACTGACATCCTCCTACCCTATATTTCTTGGCTACAGTTGATATTATTTTTTTTACATTTTTAGCCATTAACCTATTCATCACGACGACAGATGCATCTTGGTGAAGTGAGATAATTAATTGAAGTTTGTTTGTAAGGTAAATTCCTGTAAATATTAAAATGATAATAACAGACATCATTTTTGTTGCAGATTTGAAGACAAGGAAAGGAATACCTCCTCCATTCAGAACTTTTAAGTTTGGTGAGTTATCATCAGTCTATTTGAAATCAATTTTCTCTCAGTAATGTGGTAAATGAGAGTCTGATTTTAATACTTTTGATAAGTTGAGTTAATTTTTACATTATTATATCATGGAGTTTTTAAATATCTTTAAATTCAGGTTGTCATTATTCATATTTTAAAGGGTCAAAGTTCACCTTTGATAAACTTTTGATGTAAGAAGCTTGTTAACAAAATATTTCATGAACCCTTCAACACTTTGAGTTCATATCGTACTGTGTTGTGGTAACATAACTTCTAACCTGATTAGAGTTTTTTGTCGTTGATTAAGGCTCAATTAAAGGTTCGAAGATCACACTTGACCACTGACTAAGCTTTAGGTAGCAAAAAAAACTTGTGTATTCCGTCTTTACGTATTGCAGAGTTATCTGCTCTTGATAGCAGGTATTGATTGTTACCTCATTTGTTTGCGAGAGTAACGTCATCATTTTTTGAGAAAGCGACGTAATTTTCTCACACAAACTAATGACATAATCAATACCTGCTCACAAGAGCAGATAACTCTGCAATACGAAAAGACGGAATAAGTCATCTCATGAACCCTTCATTAGTGACAATGTATATACACCATAGTATAGTAACATTATGTTCTACAATAATGTAAATTATGATGGTCATCAGTCGGGGTAAAGGGGTCAAAAGTCAAACTTCTTCACTTAAGTAATGTGGGTCATATATGTTTGGCTTGATTTTTAACAGGGCTTGTCTTAACATCGGAAAATGACATGTTAGGGTGCTGGTACTCAGAGATTAAATTAACCAACATGTCTGTTAGATACATTTCTAATGACATTTTAGGGTGCTGGTACTCGGAGATTAAATTAACCAACAAGTCTGTTAGATACATTTCTAATGACATGTTTAGGTGCTGGTACTCGGAGATTAAATTAACCAATATGTCTGTAAGATACATTTCTAATGACATGTTAGGGTGCTGGTACCCGGAGATTAAACTAACCAACATGTCTGTTAGATACATTTCTAATGACATGTTTGGGTGCTGGTACTCGGAGATTAAATTAACCAATATGTCTGTAAGATACATTTCTAATGACATGTTAGGGTGCTGGTACTCGGAGATTAAATTAACCAACATGTCTGTTAGATACATTTCTAATGACATGTTAGGGTGCTGGTACTCGGAGATTAAATTAACCAACATGTCTGTTAGATACATTTCTAATGACATGTTAGGGTGCTGGTACTCGGAGATTAAATTAACCAACATGTCTGTTAGATACATTTCTAATGACATGTTAGGGTGCTGGTACTCGGAGATTAAATTAACCAACATGTCTGTTAGATACATTTCTAATGACATGTTAGGGTGCTGGTACTCGGAGATTAAATTAACCAACATGTCTGTTAGATACATTTCTAATGACATGTTAGGGTGCTGGTACTCGGAGATTAAATTAACCAACATGTCTGTTAGATACATTTCTAATGACATGTTAGGGTGCTGGTACTCGGAGATTAAATTAACCAACATGTCTGTTAGATACATTTCTAATGACATGTTAGGGTGCTGGTACTCGGAGATTAAATTAACCAACATGTCTGTTAGATACATTTCTAATGACATGTTAGGGTGCTGGTACTCGGAGATTAAATTAACCAACATGTCTGTTAGATACATTTCTAATGACATGTTAGGGTGCTGGTACTCGGAGATTAAATTAACCAACATGTCTGTTAGATACATTTCTAATGACATGTTAGGGTGCTGGTACTCGGAGATTAAATTAACCAACATGTCTGTTAGATACATTTCTAATGACATGTTAGGGTGCTGGTACTCGGAGATTAAATTAACCAACATGTCTGTTAGATACATTTCTAATGACATGTTAGGGTGCTGGTACTCGGAGATTAAATTAACCAACATGTCTGTTAGATACATTTCTAATGACATGTTAGGGTGCTGGTACTCGGAGATTAAATTAACCAACATGTCTGTTAGATACATTTCTAATGACATGTTAGGGTGCTGGTACTCGGAGATTAAATTAACCAACATGTCTGTTAGATACATTTCTAATGACATGTTAGGGTGCTGGTACATGGAGATTAAATTAACCAACATGTCTGTTAGATACATTTATAATGTTTTTGCTTGCAGATACCATGAAAATTTTACATCAAGCTCATGGTTCAAAGGTATGTATACTAAGTAATACGTAAGTCAGCTTATCAGGAGATACATTCTGGTTGTTCATCCTTGGGGAATGAAACTCCACCAACTCAAGGCTACTGGAGTGTTTCAGTTCAGGGACAGGGATTCTGTACATTTTCAGTTTACTAGCTTAGATTAAGTACATCACATTATCAAATTTTGGATATTGATGGAATAGCAACATTAATAATATAAAGCTGTAACTTTTTTCACAGGTGAAACGAAAAATAGCACAGGTACACCTCTCGGGGTTACTCCCATAACATGAGAGGCCGCTGGTCGGCCTTTTTTCTATCGGATATGATTTTGCCGGTTGCGGCGCCTGTCAAAATTCTTTCGCCGCGTAAAACCTCTAACATTTTGGAGTACTCTAGGGGTGTGCTGTAACTCTTGGTTAATTGGCATAGATTGTCTCCCCTGTACTGTCAAATATAGCTGATTCATTCAAAATTGTAGATTCCGAAAAATTTAAATGATTTACTTTGATTAATTATTATTTACTTATGGCAAGATAAATGTACAGGGTAAACTTAGTTAACTTGCTATCTAATCAACTGGTATAAAATTTGTTGAAATAAAACGAAAGAAATATTTTGGCCTTTTCAGACGAGTGACCCGGCCATTAACACAGACTGTGATGAGGAGCTGATTCTTTCCCCCGACGTGACTTTACAGGACAGTGGCATCAGTGAGTACGATGGAGGGTGAACATGTTAATATGAACGTAAATATATTACTCTAAAGCTCTTAAATATAATTACCATGGTAATAAAATCATATACTGGTATACTGATGTTAAGGATCCCTGTACCACTGTCAATATCTGTAAGTAAGCATTGGAAACTTCTTCAGGTATAACTAATATATATCGCTTTCATAAATCATTTTTGTAAAGAAAACCATAACTTGTGGGACTATTATGAAAACAATAATAAAGTTGAAATAAACACACAATAAAAATCAACTACAGTGTGTAACGTTGGACGACCGGTCGGTAGCTGAGAGAATACAGAACGATTTGTTAAACAATATCTACAAGTTTATTTACAATAATTATTGAAGAAAACCCCCATAAGTATGTACTCACACTCACAAACACACATTCATACATTCAACACTAAATGTCATTACTCCGGTTGGTGGAGTCACAGTTGCCGCTTGTATACCAATAGTTCCACTGTCCATGTGGGCAATACACAATGCAGTATGGAAAGGATCCGATGGACTAAATAAGTCTCACAAACTTGTTTTCCGCTTCACCGTATATTCCACGTCCGCTAATCATGGATATATACCCCACCGCAGAAGGGTCTAGCACCGATGTGCTGAGAACGGTCTAGCACCGATGTGCTATAATGCAGGCCTCCGGCTCCGCAGATGACCTGAGGACTGCTGCCTCACTGACGAATGACGTCAGTACAACTATGAGTTGTCTGCCCTTGTGGAACTGACCCAATGTGTGTCGCGCCAGTTGTCTCGTCCACATTCCTCTCACCTACCAACCCGTTCATGGAAATCTATAATTAATGAACATACATACTAACACTATTGCCCATACACACAATATAGTAAAACCTAGTTATAATATCACCGTAAATAGTACATGTAAATATACATTGACTCGCTACATAGATATTTCAATTTATGGACGTTAGTACCAAGCATGTGCATGTATTTGATTAACACTTATTATGCGGACTAATTATAATATATCCAACTAGATAAATTATAATAAGGAATACTAACCACAATAATATTGGATATCAACACTAATGGATAGATACCGTAATCTTACAGAAAGTGCCTCACGCTTACCTGTACAATCACTAATGCGTAACACCTACGTACGTGCATTAAAGTATTTAAATTAACATTTCGATCTCTTATACAAGTATAACATATGTATACTAAATCATAGATATATATACATATTCATAATATGGATACTAAGTTAATATAGTAGGGTACTAACATGCATATCCCTATATACGATACATGTAAACAATGTTCCGCATGAACGAACCGCACCTACATATTAACGATACACAATACATGCACATGAATTAGCTTATTGCGGTCATTCACCCGTAACTGATGCAACATATATAGCGTATAATTAGCAACAAAATCACTATAATACTGACTTACCACATCTCAGGTGTTATGCGTCTGAATTCCGGGTGGTTTTTATGGCAAGATGACATACACGTCCATCTTGGACAGATCGGCTCTCGTGTAGTACTTTGACCACTCTCGGACGCTCTCGCAAATGCATAATTACCTCGAAGCGGGAATATTCAAAAACCGCGATTCATGCAAATAAGTGATAAAACAATATACATTATCAATACTAACATAAATATATATATACAACATTCCTCAACCAATATGCGATCGTGACACAGTGTTCGAAATGTAAAAAAAACATTGGGGCAAAACCTTGGCCTGTTTTCACAAAACTGTTCTCTACATGCTCAAGCATGAATTCTGTGCTCAAGCCAACTTTCTTGTAACTCTCTTAAATCATGTAACATGGTCAAAAAGTCCAGTGTAAACATAAAAAATAGTATTCAGCTTAAAGTCTTACCTAATTTCTTGCATAGCATTGGCATTTTTTTTTTTTATCACTGGCACAGAATCTAGGTTTCAGCATGAGAAATGTTCCATGAATACCGGCCCAAGATTGGAAAACTGGAACTTAGATCATTATAGAGTTTCAAAATATTACAGGGCCAGATTTGAACCCTGGACCACAGATCATTAAACTATTACTCTGTCCAGCTAACCTACCCAGTCCAATATTCCAAAACAGTCGGACGGACACCATAACTTCTATAGAGCATCCGCACACTGCTACGGGGCCCTGATTACAATATCCTTGTATAATATCCTTGTATATTATTTACCTAATTTTTCTTTCCAGAAAACGAAACAGAATTGTCTTATTTCAAGAGGGAGGACTATGAAAAATATAAATTGGACCCTACATTAAAATGGTGATGCCAGTGACAGGAAGAGTTATTACCGTGTCAATGACAAGTCCAGTTACAGGAAGTCCATTTGGCACAGTGACACTCAAGTAACAGGAATCCTGTTTCTATGCCAGTTACAGGAAATCAAGTTGCTATGGTGATGCCGATATACAGGAAATTTGTTGCCATGGCGACACTCCAGTTACTGGAATGCGACTTCACATTGCATTGCCAGCTAATGGAGTACATTCTGTCTTTAACTATGCTTCAGTACTGTAACACTAGAATAATTATAAATGATTTACGATTTACACTGGACAAAAAATGCTTCCGTTTGCTGGTTGAGTCTGTTGTACGCGAACTGTGTGCTATGTGAATCCACAAATGCGCTGTTGCTTTCTATGTTGTCCTTGATTGTCAGCACCACCTGTTTTTGCAAAAACAAATATTCAGTGTTTGACATTAATGCATGTGGAACCTATATTACCATTTTAACTACTGAAATTTTCACTAAACATCAAATGAAGTTTACTAGTCCCAGGCATTCGGCTAGTGGAATTGTACACCTCTTGGCAGGTGAGGGGTTCCCACACCAGGCTAAGCATACATGCTCATTTGTTTGGTAAGACATAACAGCTAATAATGGAGATATTGAATTGCTTTTGGTTTTAAATATCTTGTGAAATATAAAGTTTTGCAGTAAAAATAAAGATATCTTTTTTCTACTGTGAAAAATGGAGCTTTTTGTTATTTTCACACTCTACCAACTAATTAGAATGCAGTGTCTCATGTGAAATGGATTGTTGTAGACATGTTTTGCAATTTCAATAGCAATGCAACAACCTGATTATTGGAAATTTTCCTAAACTTTGTTTCCAATGAATTATTTTTCCTGTTATTTATATTTGTATAAGAAACAAATACCATATTTGTTTCTTGTATTTTCCAGAATTTTCATGACATTGACAAATGATATGTTATTGATTCAGAAATAAATAATTCTTTTTGTCTCTGTTTTTGTTGAATTTGATTTTGTTGAATTTGAAAAAAAAACAATCAATTCTTATGTACAGTTTCTGATATTTTAGTCTACCATTATCCGAAAGTTTAATGTTCAAATTGCCTTTTGTGCCTGGTCCAAAAGTTGTTTTTAAACAGGTAAGTTCTGATGCTTTAGATCAATATTTATCTATAGACTGTTTTGCATTGATTCTCAAAAAGCTTTTGACACTGTTTCGTATAAAAAATAAATAAATGTCATCCAAAAGTTAACGATTCCCATACCCTGCCAAGAACTATGCACAGGAAACCGACTTCTCCAGCAACGACTTAGCTCTGATCAATCATTTCTGAAAAGAAAACCATACCTTATGAAAAACGATGAGAATGAAATAAACAAAATATAATCAACAACTGTGTCCCGAGTGTATGAATTAGAGGGAGTCGGCTGGGATTTGAACCCAGAACTTCAGTTTGATATACTATCACTCTAACCAACTGAGCACCTGGTCAACAGACATAATTATAATAATATACAATATTTGATCCTTGCCAAACTTTGCTGTAGTTATATTCAAAACGTAATTTACGGGGGCTAGTATATCAACGAAAAAAGTGAACAGATAAGTAACTGGTAAACAAGCTTCAATTCAAACGGTGAACAAATGTTATTTCTGAATGGGGAACATTACAGTTGGATTAAAGCATCATCAGGATTACCCAAAGGATCCGTCTTGGGACCTCTTCTGTTCAGACTTTATATAAATGATGTTCCAAATATAATGTACTGCCAACTCTCTTTGGTACCTTTTTGCTGTTACACTAAAATGAAGTGATTTCTTTAGAAACCTTTCTCAAAATTTCTTATGTAGGCTTCGTTTGGTTTCCATTTGAGCACTTTTCAACTTGATTGGATTGCAATTATAATCATCTCTGATCCAATAATTGAGAAAATCGAACACAGGATAGAATGATATGATTGGAATATCATGAAAGGACACACAAGAAAAGCCTGACAAAATAACAGAGTACTAGACATTGTATAAAATATACAGTAAATTAATCTGTGAGTATTAGAGGCAAACATCAGATCAGCCAGCAAAGGAGAAACAATAGAATAGCATAGCCTTGTTATACATGGTATCTGAACTTCTGTAGGACCTAACCAGAACAAAAAAATGCTACTGCGGTCAATCAAATATAATTCTATGTTTTATGGATTTATAATAGCATCCCTTAAGTAACGAAACATACAGATTATCACCAGCTTCCTTGTTTAAAGAAATTTCATAATCCCAAAATAAAGAAGAAAATGGAATTCGAGGTCAAAATACTGCCTTACTGACCAGCCCAGGGACGCGCTCACTAATTCAGCAGCAGCAGCAAGGGTGGTCAGTAGCACAAGGACCTGAGAGTTTGTTACAGCTATATTTGGACCTAAACTATGGCATTCAGAGTAGTTTTACACGTTTTAGGGGTTTAGATCAACTTCCGGTAAAAACGTGTAAAATTATTCTGAACACCTTAAGGGCCCAATATAGCGGTAACAAATTATCAGGTCCCCGTGGTCAGTAGCTAGTACGTCGTTTCGGGACATGAGCCAAGATGTTTCGGGACTTAATCAAGTCGTTTCGGGACATATAACATTTTCACTTGCAAATTACATTTCGCTCCCGTTTCATTGAAAGTCTGGTAAATACAAAAGTATGGTTTACCCGTGCTTGGGATCACTAGTGTTACCAGATTGCTAGTGCTTGACGGGATACCTACCAACATTTACCCGATCGACAGTGTGCTGGTGGTATACGTACCTGGTGATCTAGAGGAACTTATGAAATTCAACATTCAATTTCTTTCTTGTTTGATATTGTAATAATATGTTTTCAATTCACTATTTCTCCATTATTGACATTAAGAGACGGAATTTTAAGCATTATATTTTCGCTATGTTGTAATTAAATTTCATGAAAGTAAAATGTGAAGCACATAAAATATGTTTTAGACATGCATGAGAATCAATTCATCAAATATAGCAATATATTTTGAACGATGTAATTATGTTGTGCATTTTTATTCATGTTTTATTAAAATCATGTAATGGTAAATGTATGACGGGAGAAGGCTATGATAAGTTGTAAAACTTTTATCCAATAAATTGTTTTAATTATTTGACATTAAAATATGTTTAAAGAGAAAGACAATGTTATCTACAGAAGAAAAAAAAAGAAAAAATCCCGAAACGACTTTTGACATGTCCCGAAACGGCCCGAAAAAACACCGTCAGGAACTGGATGGTGACCACCCACACGTTACAAAAGAGATTGCATCTCACTTGTTGCCAGAAAGAGAATAAAACTTGTGCAGCGTTTCTATACTATGTATGAAAGTCTAGCTTACAAATAGCTGGAAACCGAAGCGCGAAAGCAGGCAAATGTTTTCAACGCAAATTATTTAAAACATCTGTATGGCAAAATACAATGGCATTTGGGCACAAGTTTTCCACTTTTTATGAAGATTTTCCAAAATTTCATAACATACATTTTCACGATGGTAAAATATAAATAAGTAATTAAATTTGAGAATGAGTGCTAAAGTGTGTGGAAGTGATAGAGAGTGTGAGAAAACGGGAGAATGAGTGCTAAAGCGTATGGAAGTGATAGAGAGTGTGAGAAAACGGGAGTAATGCGGAAGACAGACGGAGATAAATTCCTTTATTTTCAATATATATGATAATGAAAAACAGACGGCACTAGTCATAGCAGTTCACATTTCCAAGCATTCATCTGTTCACTCGTTCATCACTTCCGGTGCCTTAGTTTTGTCTCATAAGGCACGAGAATTGAACAAATGAATGTTAAAATCAATGAACAGCAAGGACTTGTTCCGTCTCAAAGGCACCGGAAGTGGTGAACAAATTAGTGTTTGGATCAATGAACAGCAATGACTAGTTCCGTCTCAAAGGCACCGGAAGTGGTGAACAAGTGGAGTGTTTGAATCAACGAACAGCTGTGAATTGTGCCGTCTGTTTTTGGAAAACAGAACAGTTGTATTATGGTAAATTGTCGTATACAATATGAAGTAAATTCTCAAAAGATGTCGAGACGACATTGTCTTACGGCTGTTTATTAATTCATTCCATAAAAATGCAGCATGCGACTAGATTACATTCTCCAGTATAGCAGAAAGGAAGTGAAATACGTTTTGATATCGAGGATGAGGTAGGGGTGGATTAAACACGTCTACATGATGCAACCAGATCAACATCAAGGGGTAGCAATGAGATGGAAAAGAGGAAGACGCAAGGAAACATGGAGATGGTCCAACGAAAAAGAATTAAAAGGGGAAAAACTGGTCATGGACACAAAGAAATGGAGGTCTCTCGTACTGGCGGTATGTGCAACCCAGCGCGAAGAGGACTAAAAAGTAAGTGAACATGTAAGGAGTAATATTGCAAATAAGTTTCAAGGGGCGAGGTCAGACTCTTTGGACTACATGTAAGCCATGCAGTATATTTTCTTTTAGTTTCTTCATGTCCAACAAGCCGATATAATGATAAACAGAGTGGCGATCTCAACCTTTTTCAATTATGACTCAAGGACCAATTCCTTTGAGGCCGGCATGACCTCTGGGTTAATCATGGTAGTTCGAGTGTATTTTTCCTCATTATGCTCAACAATTGTATATCAGGTTAAAGATCCACCGTTTCCATGTTCTGACTCCTGAATTTAGTCTGAAGGACAAGGACTAATCCTAATGATATGACTGTTTTCGACACTTCATGTTCAGCAGTTGTATATATGGGCATGAGGTGCGGATATCGACCGCAGTGGGCCCGGGGCTGGACACCAGAGTTAATCCTGGTATCGTATCAGTATCTGTCTGCCAGAACCTTTTTCACGCTCATTCACCCAGACAAGACTTATCAATATAATGGTATATTACATAATTTGTATTCAATAAACTGATATACAACATGTATCTTAATATGACCTGTTCTAGTGATGACCTCTTAATAAATCTGCTCTACGCTTAAACGCTAGTGATAAATACTTTCCTAAATTATTCAGTTCTTTTGTGTTTTTGATTTTGAGTAATTGAACAAATTTATACATACTAGGCCTTTTGAAATAATATTGCTTTATGCATTTAGACCGGAGGTTTGAAAAGCGATTACATTTAATTATAAAATGAAATTCATCTTCTCTATCATTTTCATTATATAAAATACATGTTGTTTCTTCTCTAGGTATATCTCTGTAAAGGCCACGTTCAATGAACAGGTCATGCGCACTTAAACGTATCTTAGAAATATGTTTTAGATCATTTAAATCAATTGCCTTATGAAGATATGGTTGCAATTTAATACTTTCCACTTAATGCTGATATAATACTCCTTTAGAAGAAGAATGAACTTTCTCTAGACAATCTTGCTGAAAACTATCACATAATCGCTGCTTATATACTTCACTAGAATGATTAATACTATCAGTCACAAACATGTATCCAAGGCCGACTCCTGGAAGATCATGTTTTAATTTAAGGATCCAGGGGTCTTTATTTTCAACCATATCATCATAACAAGCTTTAAGCACACAGTTATCAGAACGTTGTAATTTAATCCAATACTTAAAAAAATAACTTTTCTTAACAGCTCTAAATGAGATCTTCCAAATTCAATATAAAGAAATGCAGTGTTTGTAGATTTTTCTTAATCCTAATAATGATTTCAAAAATCCAATATGCAATTTTTTTTTTCGGGTGCTTTATGAAATCCCCAAATTTCTGAACCGTACATTAAAATACTATTGACAAATGTGTCAAAACAGCGAGACGAGATTATATATTAAAATGATTCTTTTTACATACATTATTTATAGCAAATAGTGCTTTTCGACCTTGGTCTGCTAGTTGTTTGGGTTTTTTTGTAAATTTTCCATTATAGTTTTAAGTGAGACCAAGATAATTAAAATCATCAACTACTTCAATCGCATCCTTATCATAAAACAATTTT